AGACGTCATATTTTTAATGGACCTGTAAAATGAAGTTGGATCCATAAAGATTTCATTCTGCAAACGATACTAAATTTTCCATTTGGTCGGATATAGAAGATATATCTAAATCTGAACCGATTTCAGGAAACTTAACACACATCATTCTAGATCTAAGAGAATTTTGGTACACAATTCACACACATTTACATTAAATCGGGAGCTATATCTAAATCTGAACCAATTTTCTCCAATTTCAATAGAGTTGTCCTTGGGTCAAATAAGTGACCTATGTCAAATTTCATCCAAATTGGATCATAAATGCGACCTGTACTTTGCTCACAAAAAATACATGGGCGGACAGACGAACATGCGTAAATCGACTCAGAAAGTGATACTATGCATATTCTCAAAAGGAACCATGTGCCTATCTCGTCTCCTTTTGCCTGTTACAAACATATGCACAAAGACAACAGAGTGGTGAAGGGTACAACAGAGTGGTGAAGGGTATACAAAATAAAACAAACAAATGAAATTGTTGTAAAACAAACAATATCGAGTTTTTAAAAAGTTAATAGGCCCACTGATATATCAAATTATAGACACTTCGATAAAATATTAATTAAAATATATAAATACAAATTTTGGACTCTTATAGGCAATTAAACGCAAAACTATCCCAAAATAAAAAAATGACAACGACTACAATGGGCTTCGTTCAAAATACCAAAAAAGGGCTGTACTTTTATATGAGGGCTATTTCAAAACATGGCCAGCTTTCAAGAACCCTTTATACCAAATTACAGCCACATCAATGGAAAACCCAGCTAAAACCTTCATTATAACGAAAATCGGTCTGTATCTTCATATGGCAGCTTTACCAAAACGCAATAAATATTTTATGATAACCTAAAATATTAAATTATATTTAATTCGGGTCGAACAATATTGATAACATTCATTAGGAAGATATTTTATCACTGAGAATTCGAAATACTAGATAACCGCTGATTAGGTTGGTAAACGTACCCAAAGAGCTTACAAATACTTAAAAATTTCGGTTTACCGTTAAATGGGTTACACCGAAACAGGGACCAATTTGGCAGAGAGATCTTCTTCTCAATGAGAATCCAAAATATAAAATTACAGCCATTTTTGATTGGAACACGTTCCCAAATACTAACTTTTTAGAGGTTTATCATACCCGTGTCTTTAACATTCTCCATAACAAGGAGGATATGTTAATTTTATCATTCCGTTTATAACACCTCAAAATATTCGACTATAAACTCCACAAAACACAATGCTTGGTGTATTTTATAACTATTTTATTAGCCTTCAAAACAGTGCATGTTATACGATATCACTTTTTACGCTTCAATCAAAATTTCAATTCCACACCTTGTTCTTACTGCTATCTTGTTTTATGATTTCACATTATTGTCATTATTATTTAATGGATTATGTTTGCATTTCAACAAGAATAACACATACAAATAATATATCTCAATATTCACAGAATCGAAGTAATATAACTCTCGTATGATATTTACTTTTTCTATGATATTTGAATATCTATCCACCAGTTTTTTTTTCACCATCGTCGTATTCTTTATTGGGAATATGATGGGTATTTAATTTCGTGCTTGATTTCATATGAAAATTACAATCATCATAGAGAGGAGTTATTACTTTGTACTCCTTTCTATGTGTATTTTTTCATCGTCTTCTTCTTCTTTTTTCTATCCTCTCGTATTTTTTTAGATATTGTGCGGTTCCTTTGAGTTTTGGCTTTTTTCCTTCGAATCCAACAGCAAGGTAAATATGTATAATAAAAATGAGTATTTTTTGTATTTTATGATACCATTACACATGCAATTGTGTGTGGATGCGTGTGCATATGTGGCCTGTATGCGTAAATCTTCATTACATATCCTTTTTTATGGAATCGCTTCAACCACATCTTCATAAAACCGAAACATAATGAACTGTATTTGAAGAGTACGGCTGTTGTTGCTACTAATGCTGCTACTATTCGTCTTATAGCCTGGTTACCGAACACAATAATATTTATGTAAAATACTATTCGAAAGCACCTTTTTTACGTACACCTTTGTAAATTGCGAATAAAAAAATATTTGATGGGGTTATGATGGTAGAGAATATAAAAAAATAACGCACACACACATTGATTCGTTTCAAAACCACGCATATTGTGAAGTTCTTCGTTTTTTCTCATGCGCATTATTCGGCGTTTTATTGTTCGAAATATGCGTATTTTGCATAATAACAATATACGGTTAGAACTGTTCGGATCAGAATAATATATGAACTGAAAATTGAGGAGTAACATTTTAAAAAATACATAAAATCAGAAACGTGGTTTAAACCATCAAAATACCGAAAGTCGGTTAAAAATCATAATGCCAAAATAACACCAATTCAGTTAAGATGCGTAGCTTCGACTTTCAAAATACTAAACCCGTAAGCGCAGAACTAAAATCGGACAGGCTACTATATAAACCCCACATCACTGCACAAAATATTGTCATTTCGATTGGAATATATACCTAAGATCACCAAAAACCTAATAAAGAGATCCATACTTCTTCCTGTCAAATAAATTTCACACACCAAAAATCCGCAAGGCCAAATTACAGTCCATTCGGTAAGAAAATGTGACTAAAACTTCCAAATCCCAAGTTCAAAATGTGAACCCATTGGATCTGCAATGATGTATGTTAGATTTAGGTTTGGGGATGTGCAGTCACTAATGTGGCTACAGCACTTCTTTACAAAAGAAGCTATTAATACGAAGTTCTTTTCACCAAAATTTTGACCATTTTTCCCCTCTTTTCGAGCTTGATTTAAGTTTCCAAACAGACGGACGGCCAGACAATTCCAACACACCAACCAAATAAGTTAACTATTTTGAAAACGTCGTTAAGATCGGCATGTGGTGTACATTCAAAATTCTTCCACAAAGGTCATTGCATGTAGGTTGTTTATGAAATACGTCAGATTTCAGGCTGCACCATTGGAGTGAACGTCAAAACCTCAACGATGTTATAATTATGTTGGCCGCATTTACCAGCTGATGTTGATATTCGTGTCGATTATCATTTTTCATGGCTCATAGTGGATTGTAGTTAAGTGGTAGTGTTGAAGATATATTGCATATGATGTGAAGATATTTTGCATATGAAGGACTGTGTACGATCTTAAGAATTTTCGTGCCATCAATTTGCTCTTGAAGAACTTGATTGTTAACTTTATTGACTTTTATAATATAAATGTAAGGAAAAATAAATAAATCTAAATTGCTTCTTAATCGTTTCTCTTAATATAAATGAGGAAATGCAAAAAAAATTGTTTAAAAAATAAAGGCAAAAAAATTACAATGATTTTACAATAAAATAAATACAATCACAAAAAACATATTACAATAATCTCGTAGTTTTTTTTATCGATAATTGTAAGGCAAAAATGCAAGAAAAAACGTTGAACTTATAACTTAAAAGAGGAAATGGGTGACAAGTAGGCAGACAGTATAAGTTCGACCCCAGTCGACTCATTGCAATTAGAGAAAATTCTTATTTGCTTTCATCAATGACACGTCGTATTGTGTTAAATGATTGTTCTAAACTCGATATGAACTCTTGGCCATTGCAACCGTTCTCGTAGGATGTTACCACCACACCGCACATTTCGTTTTGTATGGAATAGCTGAAACATAAAAGTGAAACAGAGAAAAAATAAATAAGGAAGGTAAGGGAAATTAGAACATGTTTAGAAAGGTAAAACAATAGAAAAGAAAACGCTTACCCTATGCCCAGACCATCACGTACAACGGGACCAAATGAACCGGATAACAAACCATCCGATGAAAGTGTAGAGGTACTTATAATATTATAATTAATACGTTTATAGGCCTCCAAATCATAGAGTTTAGGTATGGGTTCATTGTTTATGACGGCAGTGTGTTTTAGGGCAAACAAATGACGATCAAATCCCTGGCCCATGGCAGCATCTTTGGTCAATTGACTGTGATAGGTGGAACATTTATCGATAAGTGACCTCAGTTTTTTGGCATCAAAATCTCGTTGCGATGACAAAACACTATCACAAAATTCTTTGGTGGCCATGGTGCAGGGTCTCATGGTTTCAGTGCGCCCATGTCTAAATGCAGCGGTACTACACGACTCATATGTGCCAACATATTTGCCGAATGCCTGTTTATAGGCCAATTGGAAAGATAACTGCATAATGGAATCCGGACTTAAACGATCAGTTTTACAAGCCTGTTTACTTAATTTGGGATAAATCAACATTTGCATATTCAAAGCAGTTACATTCTTTTGATTCTGTTCATAGGCTTTGCGAACTTCCTCCTTGAGTTTATCATCGATTTCGAAGTTAAGATAACGCACCTTGGCATTGTCAACTGAAATCTGGGAAACCGTCTTTAAATCTTCAGTGCTTAGGAAAGGTTTATTCAACGTTTCCTTATAGACTTCATTGAAGTAACGCAGAACCGCCACGCCATCACCCCAAGTGTGTTCGAAATTAATGGCCGCTGTACCATCGGCAGTCAACAGCATTGAAAGGGATTTATCAAACCATCTAGGGGAAAAATATTATTAAAACAAAACCTTTTTTAATTCCACATCAAATCTTACCTATTTGTGCCCTTACCGGCCAACAAATTCTTAAAAGCTGGAATTGGATTGCTTTCACTATAAACCGCATCCTCTTCAGTATCCAAACAAATGCAGAACAAAGCATTATCAATTTGCTGAGTCAACAACTCATTATTTACCGCACTCTTAATCATATACTCGCGTACACGAGCCCATTCGTTACGTTGCCCAGCGGTTAAAACACCAATAGGAACTTCTGCCGCAGCTTTAGTTTCATCCATCTTTACAACAGCATTTAAACGAGCCAAAATCTCTTGTGGCCTTTCAATCAAACCATTTTCATTTAAAACATCTACAGCATAAATATTACCACGACGCATAATCATGATGTGTTTAGAATTTGGGGATTGTACCAAATGATCTCGTTCCTCGCCCGGTATACGTGATGTACCAAACAGACGTTCATATTGTACCATATCCAAGGGGAATGCTTTGAATGCATATGATGCATAGATTGCTACAATTTGTGGCGTAAGACGCATCCAACGACGATAACTTTCAGTATCACTTTTCTTAGGATTCATATGAAAAACTTCAGGTTCCAGGCAGCCGGCTTGCAGTGAACGCCAAAAACGCAAAGATGTTATAATGATGTTGGCCGCCTTCACCAGCTGATGTTGATATTCGGGTCGAGTATCGTTTTTCATAGCCAACAGTGGATTGTAGTTGAGTGGTAGTGGTGCACGGTCTTTTAGATACATATCAAACCTAGAATGGGGAGAAGGATAGTACTAGGAATTAGTGGAAGGAATTTTGAAATAATTAAACTAGGTAAAGAGCGGTCATAACGTTTGCCTGTCAAAAATTTTATAGCATAAACAAAAGGAAGGATTTACCTTTTAGACTTCAAAAAGTAAATGACTCATTAAGTTCGAACGGACCGAAAATTTCACATTCCCCGTCAGCAGGTGGACATTCAAAATATTTAAAATCGTTCGATACTATTATATGGGGACAAGAATGACAAATTACACTCTTTTTCAGTAAAGTCGGACAGGGCCGACTATATGATACCCTTCACAACTATGGATATATTAAACAGGACTATTAACATGAAATTGGATGAACTAAAATATGTGATACTTATCTAAATATTAATCGACATAGATCAATCCATAAACATGTCATTCGTTTGTTACAATGAGACAAAATTATGTAAATCGACTTCAAACAAATATCAATAGGACATCCGTTGGGCTATGTCTGTACTTCTAGAAAACAGAACTACATTATTCTATGCTACATTTTGTAAGTTGTGTAAAATTGCATGTCAATCTGACAAACATGAGGAGTTTAATGCACTATTTACTTAAAATCGGTCGAAAATATATATGGAAGCTATATCCAAAAATGAACCGATTTCAACGAAACTTGTCACAGGTTAGGTTATACTAATTTCAGTACGTATTGTTGCTATCAGACATATATTGGTTCCTTAATTACTTAAAATAAATCGATTATATATAAGAGTGCTATATTTAAATCTCAACCGATTTCAGTACGCTATAGCAAATTTCGCGCAAATCGGAATATATATAGGGACTTTGGTGCACCATTTACCCTAAATCTGACGAAACTCTATATATGCGAGCTATATCTAAACCCGGGCCGATTTTCACGAAACTTAGCTGACATAACTCTAGGTAAAATTGAGTACGTTATGCCAAATTTCGTGCAAATAGAAAGATATATATTGACTTTGGTGCACCATTTACATTAAATCGGACGAAAATATATATAGGAACTATACTATAACTAAATCTGGAACGATTTTCACGAAACTAGACAGACGTCACTCTAGGCTTAATTCAGTACGCTATGCCAAATTTCGTGTAAATCGAAGGCTATATAGGGACTTTGTTGAACCATTCGGACGAAAATATATATGGAAGCTATATAAATCTGAAACGATTTTTCCCAATTTTGATAGGATTTGTCCTTGGGCCAAATGAATGAGCTGTGCCAAATTCAATCCAATTCGGATTATAAATGCGACCTGTTTACAATTTGTTTACAATTTAACACCAACATACGAACGGACGGTCATGCATAAATTGACTCAGAAAGTGATTCTATGCATATTCTCAAAAGGAACTATGGGTCTATCTCGTTTCCTTTTTCCTGTTACAAACATATGCACAAAGACATAATACCCTGTACTACAGTGTGGTGAAGGGTTTACAAACAAGATTGACACATTCTACATATAATGTTTTTTAAAGTTCATAAATAAATATATTTGTATCTTTGTTTGCGGCTATTGCAGGTTATTTTCGAGATGATATGTTTTCAGTTGAATCGAATGAGGAACATTTTTCTAAAACATATCCCACTTCTATCTCGTGTTCTTGATTGCCTTTTTCGTCCATATTTTCTTGAACCGAAATCATAAGTTTTTAGATAGGGTCCTCAAAGATCAGAAATCGATATTTGTAAGTTTTTATCATCTTCGACCTATGACAAATTCGTCCTTCAGGGTTCTTAGTATACTCGCCAAGGGCTTTCATAAAAGGCATTTTCCACTTCCCAGACTATGGGCTCGATTTTGTTGCATAGTTTTATTTATGGGGACCCGCCGAATTTTCCGAGGTGTTGTAAACGCAGAGTTTATAAAAAAGAACAATGGGCATGTAATGGACATATCTAAACATAAAACAACGACGGCAATAATTTTTATTCCACCCCGAGACATTCCAAAAGATGCCTATCAAGCTGGATTGAAGAAAAATTACACTAAAACCGTTAAAGAAACAATTAAATAATGCGGATTGAAATATATCCTCGGAGAACACCTGTTATCCGTAGGAGCAGAAGAATACCTACTGCTTCGTCTAATCAGGTACTAGATGAAAAGGGAATAGTTGCTGCCGCATCATATTTTATTGGAATGGCGCTGAACATCTGCCCGACATGTGGTAATGGACCATAGTTACAGAGTCAATCTGTACTCGTGCAAAATTTCGTCTCAATCGTACAATGTCTGGGAATTTGGTGCACCATTCATATAGAATTGGACGAAATATATATGGGGGCTACATCTAAATCCGAACCGATTTCAACAAAACTTCTACTTAATTCAGTACTCTGTGCAAAATGTTGTATCAATCGGGAAAAACTTTGGGAGTTTGATGCTCCATTTACATAAAATCGAAAGAAAAAATTTGTGGGAGCTATATCTAAATCTCAACCGAATTTCACCAATTTCGTTACTGTTCGTCCCTGGGCCAAATAAGTGATATGTGTCAATTTCCATTCAATTCGGAACGAACGGATATTCTTATATCGACTCAGAAAGTGATTCCATTCATATTCTCAATAGGAACCCTGGGTCTAAGTCAAAACACTTACTGCCGATAATACAAGACCGGTGATTATATAGACCGGTTATTATAGGTCCCTCAAGACTTAAAAGTCGTGCACTATAACCTCAACCTATGACGGATAGTTAATTTATGCTGGGTTCCAGGACATAGCAACATAGAAGGGAACGAGATAGCCGACGAGCTTGCTCAAGGTGGGTTCACAGTCGTCCAACCTTCCGATTAAAATCTGTGCAACTACCCATTGGCTATTTCATTAGCAAAATCCGCTTGTTCTACGGCGAAGTAGTCGGCAACAGATGGTCGAGAGAACCTGGTTCCAGAATCTCAAAAGCTATCTGAACAAGAGAAAGATCAAAATCATTGTGGGGATCATAACACGTTACTGCAAGATTGGATCTCTCACTTCGAAGTGGGACTCCAGCGGAGAGGATTACTGTTGTCTATGTGAGGACGAAGAAGACCTAGAAACAATTGAACATATCCTCTGTAAATGTCCATCGCTGATTGGCAGAAGACATAAACAGTTTGGAAGATATGTAATTGATAATCTAGCCTTCTTCTCTAAAATAGACCCTAACCAGATCCTAGGCTTTGTCAAAAATCTGACATGGCTAAAATAACCATTTATCCGCTCTTCTTCTCCCGCTATATTTTCTCCTTGCCCTTCCACTCTCTCTTTTTTTCCTCTTTGCAGGTAAAAAGGATGATCACAATGAACATTAGTCTCCGAGTGGACGGTTGTTACTAACAACCGTACACCCCCAACCTAGACTCCCAATATTTGTTAGATTGAGACACAATTTTGGGCAGCGTACTTAGCTAGGTTCAGATTGACGTATGCATAGTTTTGTTGAAATCTGTTCAGATTTAGATATAGATCCCAAATATTTCGCAGGATTTTTTTAATGGTGCACAAAAAACCAAGGTTTTGCATAGCGAATGCCATTGAGTCAATAATGATATGTGTTAAGTTCCTTGTTTATGCCTATGTTTGTTCGACTTACACGACATTTTGGCAGAAGGAATTGAATGGAATTCGTCTGAGTTCATTCAAATTACGGACCAGGTAATAAACGTTTCTCCGACCGAGATAAAATTTTGGACAGTGCGATCTCAATTAGATCCATATGGCACACGAAAGAAACCATGTTTGCCATTTAATGACATTTAATTTTTCATAAATTTCAGAATGGTATGTGTATGGGTAGTTTTAAATTAGTTAAAATACCTATCTATGTACGTCACTAATATAATTTCGCCCGATTCCATTTCAATGGACCTCTACATGATATTGCACATATGAACATCTTTTATATAGTCGGCCCCGTCCGAAGTTTGATCTTTCCTTACTGATCTTTCCTTATAGAATAGAATCTTTGGAGGACCATGGAGATGGAATCGGGCGAAATTAAATGTTCTATCTAGAAAGATATTAGAACCAATAAAAAAAAAAAAACCATACACATACCATTCTGAAATCAAAGAAAAATTGCATTCAAACGGACAGACTTGGATTCTTTGGTGGACACATGGACCTAATTGAGCAACCGTTGCATACACCTATTTTTGGAATCACTCTATATTCAATTTAATACCATCAGTCAACTTTCGTGTAAATCGAACAAACATATGCTCTTCGGTGCACCATTTACATGAAATCGAACGAAAATATATATAAGACCTATATCAAGATATGAACCGATTTCAACTAACCTTATCACACATCATTTTTTCCTCAATTGCATAATTTTGCTCAATCGGACAAATATTGGGAATTTGATGTATCATTCACAAAAAATCGTACGAAGCTATATATGGGAGCTATATCTAAATCTGAACTGATTTTAACAAAACACCGCAGACATCAGTCTGGAACTAATTCAGTATTCTGTGCAGAATTTTGTCCCAATCGGGCAAATATTGGGAGTTTGGTTATGTGTACCGATTTTAACAAAACTTCGCAGACATGCTCTGTGCAAAATTTTATCCCAATCGGACAAATATTGAGAGTTTGGTGCATATCTAAATCTGAACCGATTTTAACAAAACATCGCAGACATAACTATGGAACTGAGTCAGTGCGCTGTGCAAAATTTTGTGCCAATCGGAGAAATATTGCGATCAAGTAAATATTAATTTGGTTTATTCCATTGTAATAATATAAACAAATTGGTTGGAAGATAAATAATTGGAGTTTGGTGCATCATTCACATAAAATCGGACGAAACTATGGGAGCTATATAAATCTAAACCGATTCCAAAAAAAAACTTCACACACATAAGTATGGACCTGTTTCAGTGCGCTGTGCAAAATTTTGCCCCAATCGGACAAATATTGGGAGTTTGGTGCATCATTTACATAAAATCGGACGAAACTATATCTGAACAGATTTTCTCCAATTTCAATAGGGTTCGTCCTTGAATCAAATAAGTGAACTGTTCGTCCATGAATTAAATAAGTGAACTGTTCCAAATTTGATCCAAATTGGACCATGAATGCGACCTGTACTTTATTCACAAAAATACATGGATGGACCGGCGGACAATGGAATTTATACATTTTACACTTTATATTGTTCTCTGATTAATTTTTAGTTTCGTACGGTCCATAAACTTACCATGGTTCCGATATATAACTTGTATGTTTGTTTGCCTCATCCTTTAATTTCAACATAGCATTCAACTCGGCAGCTTCATTCGATTTAAATTCACCAACAACTTGTTGCGTGTGGGCAAACTCCTCATCTGTTGTTATGGGTTGAATGGCGGCTAAGAAACGTTCACAAGTCTTTTCGACCAATGGAATGGGAAGACGTGGCAGGGATTTTTGAAAATACATGGTTGGCAGCTTGGAACGTTGCAAATATTGATAGGAATCCGAATCTGATGAAGATGTTGCCATCGAGCGTAAGATCATTGGCTTCGTTTGACATTTTGCCCAGGATCGTGACAATAATTGTCCACTGGTATAAATAGCTAATTGACCGCGCACCATTTTCACTACTTTCGATTTTTACTTGTTAACCTATTTCCAAATATGTAGTTGTTGTTATTAACTAAAAACAATTTTTGCAAAATTAATCTTTCGTCACTGACTGACTACCACTTGAACGAAGACAAAACAAAACACAAAGTCCAATATGTTTGCTTGATTGTTTGTGCCGGGGCAAACACAAAACAACAACAAACCTCCCGCAAAGGAAAACAACAAAGAACAGCTGTTTGCTTTGCTGTTGATGTAGGGCTGTCGTGCATTGATATTGCTTTAATCTATTACAAAATGATTGAACACACAGACGGCGTCTGGCGTTTTGTGTGTGGATTTGAGGAAGCATTGTACCATGTGAGCAAGTAAATATTAATTTGGTTTATTCCATTCTAATAATAAAACAAATCATTCGTTCAATAATAGTTATAAATATTTTTATTGAAGAACTAGCATAAAATATCGATAAAATCATATTGTGCAGAAATCCGTACATAAAGGAGTTTGGGAAAATATAATATTTGTGAACACTGGCAAGGTCTGAAGCAGGACTTGCATCTTTGTGTTTGTGAAATCCAACAATAGATCAAACTCGTAATAGAGTCGAAATCATTGAAGAATAAGAAGTTACAGCAAATTTGGAATGTGAAAATTTGAAAACTATTAAGAATCCGCAAGTTCTTGGATTATGGTGTGTGTTCCAATATGAAGTGTGAGGCATTATATTTGTCATCAAGAGATAGTGGTCTAGTGGTCTAAAATATGGGTAGTGGTCTAAAATATGGAATTAAATTTGAAATTCTTACGTTAGGGAAGGTTCGACCGTATGCCAGGAGTTATTGAAGTGCAACTCTTTTGGGAAACAATTTGTAAATATCAATATTTGTGAATACGGGCAAGATCTGAAGCAAGATATTTATACTTGTGTTTGAGAAATCCAAGAGTAAGGTCGAAGTAAGTAAGTTCATTGGCTGATGGTTTATGTCCCAATATGGTGAACAAGGTGAGGTATTGCATTTGTTATCAAAAAACCAGTGAGGAAAGAAGTAAAGTCGGACGGAGCCGACTATATGATACCCTTCACCACTTTGAGTATATTCAACAGATGGTATCCTAAAAGACGTTGCATTTTTGAAGGACCATTAACATGAAATGAAACATGCCATTCTGCAACCTATACTAAATTTTGGTCAGATATAGAGTTGCTTCTTACAATGGGACAAAGTTATGTAAATAAATTTAAAGCAAAATATCGAAATCTAAACCGATTTCATCGAAACTTGTCACATGTTCGGCTATATTTTGAGTTCTCCATTTACTTATAAATCCAAATTTCGTGCAAATGGAAGGATATATTGGGACTTTGGTGCACCATTTACACAAAAACTGACGAAAATATATATGGGAGCTATATCTAAATCTGAACCGAATTTCACGAAATTTAACACACATCGTTCTAGACTTAGGTCTAGAACGATGTGAATTTTCTAGACTTAGGTCTAAAGTAAATTTAAATCGAAATCTGAATAATTCAAGGAAGTAGCAATATAAGTATCAGAGCAGAATTTGAAATTTAAAAAATATATATGAATATATGTGTGAAATTGTACAGGTATGTAAAATTATTACTTTTTCCAAACTGAGAAGAGCAGATATGGAATTTTACAAAACAACGTGTAGTTTTGGAAAGTTCGTGTCACCTCATTTCAGGATTATGTTATTCGATCTCATCTATAATCTGAGTTTATTCTGGTCATATAGAACTTTCGGTATTGAGATCAAGGGGTCTTCGACTTATACTTCGAAATGTTTTGCAATGAAGAAATACATATACGCTCCACTTATGTAATTGATATATCAACACACGAATAAATATACATACTAATAAAAAACCGTCTTCACCTGATGTTACACAAACCAGTATCCACGTTATTCGTGAGAAATAAATATTCAAGTAGCGCTACATTTTTACTTAACTCGTACCTTCTACTAGCGAACAATAACAATTGTTCAAATACTAATGACACTTCGAATGGCACCGAATTTAAAAATTGCGTTCTAGATGAGACACCCTTTACATAGAATCATTTCTGAGTCGATTTATAAATGTCCGTCCGTCTGTAAAATTTTGGACAAAGTACAGATTACATTTCTGATCAGAATTGGGTGAAATTTGGCACAGCTTACTTATTTGGTTCAAGGACGAACCATATTGAAATTGGAGATAATCGATATAGCTCCCATATATATGTTCGATACCCCAATAGTTCACCCATGTCATAATGTGTGTCCGACTGAAACAAAAAATTTTAACTGAATGATGTACAGAATGTCATCTGCCCAGAGAATCAACATTATAGGTTCATGTTTTCACATAGCCCCCACATAAATATCCAGCCAATTTTTGGTAGTTCGAAGTTGTTCGCATTTTTGTACCCTTCACCACACTATGGTACAGGGTATTATGGCTTTGTGCTTATGTTTGTAACAGGCAAAAGGAAACGAGATGGACACATGGTTCCTTTTTAGAATATGCATAGAATCACTTTTTAAGTCGATTTAGACATGTCCGTCCGTCTGTCTGTCCATGTTAAATTGTAAACAAATTACAGGTCGCATTTATGATCCGAATTGGATGAAATTTGGCATAGGTCACTTATTTGGCCCAAGGACAACCCCTATTGAAATTGGGAAAAATCGGTCCAGATTTAGATATAGCTCTCATATATATTTTCATCCGATTTTAGGTAATTGGTGCACCAAATCTCTGGTTCAGATTTAGATATAGCTCCCATATATATTTTCGTCCGATTATATATAATTGGTGCACCAAAGTCCCATATATCTTTCGATTTGCACGAATTTTGGTATAGGGTACTGAATTAAGTCTAGAATTATGTTGCTAAGCTTCGTGAAAAGATCCATAGGTAGGCCGATTGACACGACGAACTGATGTAATATAAATTAGTCTCTGGCAAGTTTCCCTGAAATCGGTTCAGATATATTCTACATATGTTAGGATACATATGTAGAATTTACCCAAAGTGGTGAAGGGTATAATATAGTCGGCCCAGTCCGACTTTACTACTTCCCTTACTGGTTTAAATAAGAGGTTGTACTTTGGCATTTCAGCTTTTTGGTAAAAATATACATCTCCCCAGATAATTTTCAATATTTTTTTCAAGGAACATCAAAACTATTATTTTTAAAGAATATTTTCTCAAGGGCCATCTAAGCTATTAGGCGTGGATTTTTCAAGAATATTTTCTTAAGGTGGAAGTTTCGAACCTACTTCGGCCTGACCGAAAATAACCACATTTTTATTTGTTTCCCTTCTTTTAATTTCCAATTAGGTCTGGATAGACGGTGTTCGGTCGGGGATTTCACAGTTTCTTTTAAAGATAGGCGAAAGATACATAAGTTTATTGATTGAATTTTATATATAACCAACTTCAGCATTAAAGAAGTCGTTTTAAAACATTTTGAAACTTTTTAGCCGAAAAAGCTTATAGTACGTTTACATTTAACCGGATTTCGTTAACCCAGTGGGTTTCAATTGTCAATTCCTTTGCATATATGTCAAATAAATCCTCATAAAGTAGGTTAACCCGGTAAAAAGTTCTAGTATATATGCCGTTTTACATTTAATTTTCCAACCGAAAGGTTTTTACTTTTCCATTCCAGGTTTTAGGAGAGTGGCATAAAAAACTATAATTTCATGTATAATTTCATCGGCCCGTATTTAGGCATAGGCCCCATATAATGATACCTCTCAATTTTTGGTATTTTTAATCTTAAGGTGAATGAGATACAAAACTAAAATATTAAATTCGAAATTGAGCTATATCGGTACTTAATTGGGCATTCCTACACGATGTAATCAATATTTTCCCGATTTATATGAAGATATATAACTTGACCTTATAAATTACAGTATTTTAAGGATGTTTCCACATATCAAACCCTGACATGCGTTATCAATATCGTACAACGTTTTGGGGTTATAAGATTGTAGAAAAAATTTCCCATTAAAAATTGTATTTCGTGTCCATCACAACAATCATTTGGTTCAATTGTCGGTATAGGTCCAGTTTTTTGTATGTTTCCTATACCCACCCCCATTATTTTTAGATTAGAAGTATTTACAGTATAACATAGCTCCGCGTGGTGTGGGAAACGTAATTGATAACAAATGTCAATACTCTATGGTGGAAATTTTAGGAATTTAATTCAGAGAGAGTTCCAAATTTTTAAAATGGAGTCTTTATATTACGACGCCTATCGAGCAGGTCTCAATAGAATTTACACTGACGAAGTTGGCTACGAGTAAATGCCGTTCTGAAGAACGCTAGCAGTATAGACGGCTCTCAGTTCTTTTCTTCATGGATTTTTAAAATTGATTTTTTTCAAGGAAAATAGATAGGTCGAAGTTTAGACACAGATCCAATTACAATTATCTATGCAGAAAATTTATGACGTAGGTCCAGGCATATTTTGGTATTTTTGAAATAACTGTCATTTGATATTCTGGCATATTGGAGGGCGAAAAGCATCTTTGAATGAAATGTTCAATATAGATCCATGACTTGACGTCACATTTGCTGTATTTCGAAAGATTCAGCCGAATTTTCCCATTTTGACATTTCGGGTTTGTGAAGAGTAAACCAGTAAGGAAAGTAGTAAAGTCGGACGGGCCGACTATATGATACCCTTCACCACTATGGGTATATTAAACAGGACTATTATCATGAAATTGTATGAAATAAAATGTGTGATATATATCTAAATGTGAATCTACCTAGATCTACGTAATTCTATGCTCAATTTTGTACATTCAGCAACATTTCAGACAATCTGACAAACATGAGGAGTTTGATGCACCATTTACTTCAAATCGGACGAAAATATATATGGAAGCTATATCCAAATATGAACCGATTCCAACGAAACTTGTCACAGTTTAGGTTATA